TGGAACCCCAAATGAAAAATGTATTTCTCAGATGGATTTTATCCAAGATAAAGACTATGTAAATGAATAGATTTTCTCAGATATTATTCTTACACATTTTATGTGTGCTCTACTGATTTTTGTGTAAATAAAGTTGTGATTAAAATTGTCTAGTCAAAAATATTTTAAATTTTACCAATACAATTAAAAATTAATTTTAACTTGGACTAGCATGAAAACAAATTTAGAAAGGTAAAATCGAGAGGCAAGGCCTTAAAATACCTTAAAAACCTTATTTCTTCTCCTGGATTAGCAAGACTTAGTAATACCTTGTTTGCACTTGCAAATGACAGAGATGGTCCTTTTTAAATAGGGGAATCAAGAAAGTGATTTTTGCAGGTGTCTTCCAGCTCCACTTGCTTGGGTTTAGCTGCTTAGAGTTCTTTTGAGAACTTCACAATTAGTGTTTATCATAAAAAAATTAATGAGCTTTAAAGAAGTCATATCAGTGAGGCTTTTTATAGGGTCTTAAATATCCACTTCCAGTTTATATAGGGGTTCATGCTTGATCTGTAATTCCACTGGAAGATGCAGGCAATATAGGCTTTTGCAATACTCACCAAAACCAAACAAACCAGAATGACACAGATGTAATATGACAAATTATTCTGATTTTCACAGAGATAAGTATTTTCTATTGATCTCTCCACCATTCCCAGACAGTGGACTTAGTTTTATGTGTATGTTAGCCATAATCACACAGACTTCACAAAGCATTATATGTGGTCCATATGGACACCATGTGAGTGTTTTTTGTGCCCATGCAATGATCACCTACCATAAGATAACTTACATTTGGTTTCCTCTAGAGTACATGAAATGTTGACAAAGGGAACAGCATGTGCTGAACATTAATTGGCACCAGACAAACTCATTATTCTCTGAAAGATATTGTTCATCAATAGGAAACCATCTGCATTGTATTTACATAAGTAACTATTGGTTTCTCTTTTAATACCATGCTGGATCTTTGACAAAATAGCAAGATGTTCCTAATACAACCACTTTGATGATACATTCAGTTGAACAAATCAGGCAGTAAAGATGTACGACTGTGAGTTAATTTTCTGATGATCAAATTAATTTCTGTCAAAAAACAGTATGGAAAAAAATGTAGTAAAACCTAGGAATGTTTGCTTTGGTGAAATGAGGAGTCCTTCTGGGTCAGAAACCTGTCTCTGGTTGTGACAACTAGTGTATATTTAAGTAAAGAATATAAGACAAAGACAGTCCCTCTTCCAGCTTTTAGTATTTGAACGTTTAGAAGTTTCTTTAAATAAAGATGAGATCTATGGTACTCTATTTGATAGCTCATGATATTGTTTTGCCTACATATGCTTTTTGACATGAATGAGAACATAGTCTTTAGGTTTTTTCAGTTTTCTAGAAAATTTCTTTTACTTTGTATAATTATCTTCAACTTCAGCTGTATCTACTGCTGTATTATATATCAGCAAAATGCCCTTGTGCCGAGTCTTATGGATCTTAATGTGTGAACTTGAAAAATGCTCATTTAAATGTTGTCTAGTTGGATTCAGTCCTACCCTTCCCTCTGTTGCTGGTATTCAAAGGTCACCCCCAGCTCACTCCACTCTTGTCTAGATAACTTACGAAGTATTCCACTCTTTCCTTATGCAGGTGAATCTCTAAGTCACTCATCTCATGCAGGTGAGACTTTTCTGGAATCAGAAGCCCATCTACCTAACTCTACATCTGGAATTGTAGGTGAGGATTTCTCAGCTACAATTAGTATAGTTTGATAGCAGAGAATTCTTCCTAGTAAGTGTGCCTAAATTTTGTTTTCATCTAAAAAGTATAAGATCCCATAATCATAAATTTTAAAATGAAACCTACAATTTCTGAACATTTTGATTGAGACTGAGAAAAGAATTGATCACCCCATTTTGGAGAATAGAAAATTCCTCTTTTTTACTGGGTTTATTATGGATTTATATTTTAAGTTCATGTCAGATATGGTGCAAATCATATAGGAAGGTCATGTTGATATTTATTGACATCCTAGTTCGCTGGACAGTTGGAAGAAAATTCTTATGAATGAAAAATTATTCTACAATTGGCTAGTACTTTTGTTTTTCTTAAAGAAACTGTACATGACATCTAATGTTCAATCCTATTGATTAGTTAAAATTTTTTTAGAGTTTACTTTACTGTTAAAAATGTGTACACCCTCTATAGTTCATTGTTTCCTGTCAATTTTTGCAAAATATCCTGAGGGGGAAAAATGGTTCCTGAGGGGGAAAAAAAAAAATGTCTGAAGACCCTTTCAAGTTCTTTACTTTTATTCTCCTGGTGCTCAAAAAAACAATTCATAAAATTTTTTTTTGAGAAAGAGCTATAGAGAAAAGTAAAAAATCCCTGTCAATCTGCATTACTTACAGTGACTATAGAGTGCTAATGAAACAAATTAGATACTGACAAATATTACAGATAAAATGATGAGCTACATGGCAGAGTTCACACTGAAATAAAACCCATATCTTAATTAGCAATGTGGGTGCATCCACTATACTTGATAAACTTGGCATGCTTACATTTGCCTACTATTAAAAGGCATGGCTTTTCATTTAGTACTTGTAGTACTCATTTAGTTCATTGTGAGTGGAACCTTTTCCTCCTGGTTTAATGTGATCTGGATCAGAGATCTTATGTAGTTTACACTGCAACTACACAATGAACCTTGCTGAAGTAAAAGAGGAAGACGCATAGGAAGCAGAGGTTTGGTTGTTTACAGTACCATGTTACAATGTTTTATTGTGGTGGTGGAATTACAGCTTTGCAGTAGTTCCTCATTTCACTGTTCCTCTCTAATACCTGAGTTTCTAAGCAAAATAACACCTATTCCACAACACTTACACAGAGCTTAACAGGAAAAGTAGCTTGACGCTATTGCATTTAAATTTGGCATGCTAATAAAAATAACTAACCCAACAATTTCCAAAGTTCAGGTATATCCTTTTGAAACCAAGTAAATGCAAGGTAGTCTTGGGAGCTGTCTTCTGGTCTTACTCGTGCACCTTAGAGTCACAACACGATGTTAATGTAATACTGCACCTTGTCTCCAGTCTCCGTACGGACATTATGGAAAGAAGTGTTTTGTCCTAGACTTGCAGGGACAATGACAACATGTAGAAGATGTTCTTTAATTAGGTCATAACTTTGTCAGTCTAACTCCCCTGGGGATCACCTCCCAGTGCTGCTTAGAGTATAGGTCTTTGTTTCTGTCTGGCACATTTCCATCTCCTAGCAGGTGGGGGGGTGGGCACCTGTCACTCTTCACCACTCCAAACCCAATTTCAGTGCTTTATTTTGACCCCTACAGTCTTCCCATCTATAGAGGTTAAGAGGTGAGAAAAAAAGAGGTCATTATTTCATTTTCCTGTGTGAAGTGAGAAGTGTTGCTGCATAGTGTTATCTTTGCCTGAATATGAATGAGCAGTTGCAAAGAATTGTTGCTTTAGCATAGACTTACCTGTTTTAATGCATGTAATTAAATAATAAATATAGCCTGTTAACAGGAATCAAACTACTAAAAACATGCAGAGTTTTCTTACTCAGGGTGATTGCAGATGCTGATTTCTGCTGCTCTCCATTACTTCTTTGATACTGTTAAGATTACCTTCAACAGGAGTACTGATGATAAAAGTTTTTGCAAAATTTTTAATGCAGTCTAAGAATCAGACCATTCAAGACTTTAAATTATCCTTATAAATTTCTTCTCCCATACAACTGATTTTCAGAAATTTTAATGCAAGTCAAAATGTCTAATCCTAGAGAAATTAAAGGGTCCAATTCCTTCTTAAATGAAACTAGAAGACAAACAACTGATTAAGAGTTTGAAGGTATTTTTCTTACTGCAAAATATTAGAGTAAGGAATCTTCAGAAGGCTCATTGTTGGAATAAAGATAGGAAAAATATCTTTGTGGCCATACCTACTCTCACTTTTGAACTTTTTTTTGCTAGTGCATGTACTTCTATGCATAAAAAGGAAATGAAGGGTGGGTATTGAGAAACATGTATTTTTGGGAGAAGAAAAATAAATTTACTTATGCAGTTTGAATCTGAAGGGCAGAAGTATTGGAGATCTTTTGCAAACAAGGAGGATGGTATGATGTTATTTGCTTTTGGTGGTGTTCATGAGAAGCTCTGTTGCTGATTTTTGTATTTATGTCACAAAGCAAAACTGGGTTGCATTTAAATATAATTTTAGTTTGATTAGTACAGTCTGCTGGATAAATTGTGAGTTTCAATAATGCCTCTTTTCTCCTTGAAGCATATAAAAAGAGTATAAAACCATAAAATAGAGAAATTGATCAAAATGTTACATTCTGATTCTGTTGTGTCAAACTTTGTCCTGGAGTTCTTGTAAACTCTTTATCAATCAACTGAGTTTGAAGAATATAATGGGAATTTTTAAAATTGATTTTTTTTTCCCCTACAGCCACTATAATTACTGAAGAATATAAATTCAGACTTGATAAATGATTTCCTATTTACAATATTCAGTGAGTAGAGCAGGCTGCTCAAGGCCCCATCCAATTTGCCCTTGAGGACTTTCATGAATGGGGCATCCACAGCTTCTGTGAGCCACTTGTTCCAATGCCTCACCACCCTCAAAACAAAGATCTTCTTCCTCCTAATATCTGGTCTAAACTTACTCTCTCTTGGTTGGAATTTATTCCAAATGTCCTGTCACTACATGCCTTTGGAAAAAAAACCCTTTCTATCTTTCTTGTAACTCAGAATCTTCTTGGGTATCAGTTGTGAAGGTGTTTTTATGAACGGATTACAAGAGTAGGATGTGCATGTACAAGATGTTCACAGATTAATTTTATCACTCATGGAGAAGTGTAGTAAATGGAGAGCTGAGACACCACTAATTTTATATTGAAGCTTAAAGTTTATACTGCAGAACATCAATGGCCTCAGAAATTCTCACTGATAGCTTTCAAACATGCTTGAAGTTTATTTATCAACAGTGGTATTTGAACAAACAACTCAGAAAAGTATGTGCTGCCCTTGCTGCTTGGATATGAAGTCCTGCGCTGGCTAAGCTGATTCTTTATCAGGAAGCAAGGGCATGCTGCTGTCTTCTAATCCTGCTGACGCTTCAAAGCCAGCCTGGTGTGTCCTTCCTGAGGGCAGAGAAACAGGAATTTTGCCATATCACTTCAATTTCCAAGGATGTATATTTGTTTTAACTGCCTTCTTCTATCTTCTCCTAAGAGGAAGAATAACAGAGTTTATTCTACACAGGGAGGAGGAACCTCTATACCTCACTCCAAATCTGTCTTGTATTTAAATAATTGTAAAAAAAAAGTAAACAGAAATGTGCTTTCATTTCATTACCTGTTTCTCATTACTTGTAGTGCAGTAGAAAGCTCAGAGGCAAAGAGAAATCCCAGTGCCTATACCTACTGATTACATATCACAGTGAAAGTTCAGATACAGCATTGCTCTGCTACTCTGGCAGAGCTCTTGTGGATTCTGCAGCATGAAAAATAAGGCCACTGACTCTTTCAATCTGTTAAGGGCCTCTGTCCTAACATTTTCCATAGGCTGTATTTTCCTGTAGCTATCTGCAAGTCTTTTATCATACATGTTGTCTTGCTCTTACTGAACCTTGGGAGCTGTAAAGTTTTGAAATAAGGGGTATTTCATCTGTGCAGCATAAGTAGGATTGGAGATGAAAGATCTAAGTGCAGTTTAAAACAGCATGTCTGATACTTTAGGAGAGAAATGATAATACAAGCTAGGCCTGAGGCCCCAAAACCTTTGGAAAACATTTTAAAATGTATTTTTTCTTTTGCAAAGTGAAAAAGCAACAGAATAAATCTGCTATTTTCTATTTCTGGAGAAAAGAGCTGGCAACAAGCGTGGCTGGTGTATTCCCTTTCTGCAGCAGTATCTCTTCCCACAATACTTTATCCATGTCTATGTCCCTCCGTTCCTTTAAAGTCCCGCTCCCCTTTTTCTCATAAGATTGGTTCCCTTTATCCTTTCCTTACGGGAAATTCAACATCCCCTTCTTCCACCTTTCCTGATACAGCAGCACCCACTCAGTTTTACCTGCCTCTATATAATGTGTACCAGCTGAAACTCCCAGGAAGCTGTGGATTTTGCCAACTGTGATTAGATGGAAATATTTTCTTATTAGAGGGTTTTCTGACTGGGACATAGGCTGGAGTGGGTGAAACAGTGTTCAGTGCCTCTCAGGTGCTGGGAGATAAATGTGTTGCTTTTGAGATCATCTGTAGAAAACTTATGTAGGTCTGTGCAAGACTGAAGGCTAACTGAGGTACAGAGACATACATGGCTGAAGAGTGGATTCCTATCCCTTTGTTGGGAAAAAAGGGAAATTAGTAAAACAGATGGAACAGAGCATGGATGGAGACAGTCTTTACTCAGAGAGGCTGGAACTGAGAAGTTCCTACTGAGATTTTGGAAATGCAAATTTCCAAAGGCACAAGTTCTCAGAGCTGCGCAGTGCCAAAGGACAAATGTTAAGCTTTGAAATGTCTTTGATTCCTATGCATCCTCACACATTTTTGGTTAAGGACAGCACTGCAGAACATTTACCCTTGATAGTGTTTTGCAAACAGCTAAAAAAATATGATAAATTTGCAAACAGTTTACAACAAAGCAACCATAATGATTACCAGACATGCTTTTCTACTTACTGCATCCCATATTAGCAATAGAATATCAAGAACATACTACTGTAATCTTCTAGAAAGGAAATGTTTTGAGAGTTTTAATGATGTTTTAGCATGTAGATGTTTTAATGTGTATCAGGATTGAAGCCTGATACTGAGATTGCATTGATGGCCTTTAAAGAAGATAAAATTTTATTACTAACATTACAATTACTAACATTCCTGAATATGTCTAGGATTTTTTTAGTGTGAATGGGTATTTTTCAATTTGACACCAGAGTCCTCTCACTTTTTAATGTAAAAATATTAATTCAAAGAAAAGTAGTACTGAGCACACACTTTAGGAGTTGCAGTAGTTCAAACAAAATAAATTGTGAACTTGCACACACAAACTAAGGACCTTAATTTTTGTTGCCTGTCAAATGTAAGGACATTGCAAGTTTTAAATAGTGGGTCTGCTCCAGCTGTAGGAGCATTTCTCTTCATCTGTTGCTGCCTTTGCCACACTCCCATCAGAGATTCTTGGCAAATATATTTCTAGTAAAAATTTGCAGACGGCTCACTCTCCTTCAGATCGTTCCTGTTCCTCAGATATGCTGACTTTTCTGGGCCCTCTGCAAAAGACATCACTTTAGATTCAGAATATTCTACTTCCAATAAAAGAGAGTATGTGTCCAGCTGTGTGTCTGCCTTCTTGAGCTTCAGGCTGATTCTTTAACTTAATGTTAAATAAATTCCTTATGGTGGTTAGAGACTTTCAGGGTTCATATTCAGTCCAGCTAAACACAATTAATGACACAGAAACCATGATAAAAATAATGTTTGTTTTGTTTTTGTTTTTGTTTTGAGGAGGATCAGAAATCTAATTATCTTACCCTCTGCTCCCATTCTTGCACAATGGAAAAGTTGGATTGGCAATTATTTTCTTCCAAAAAAAGAGCTGACCTGTCACTTACTGCACGTTAAGGATTGCTTAGGACCTTCGCTCCAGTCATATTTGAATAATGTAATACTGGTTCTTGTTATAAACCTAAAGCTATTTGAAGGCTGTTTTGCCAACCACTGGATACTGCAATGTGCTCTATGGGCCTGGTTATGCGATCCTGAACTTGTGCCAGTCAGTAACAAACCTTACTCAGCATTTTTGCAATGCATTCAAGGAATAATGAAAGAGCTTAATAGAAAAACTCACTTTCTTTTGTTAGATTGAAGACAGGGATTATTTTTTGACAGCGCCATTCAGACAAGGACTGAGTGATTTCCAGCAATTTACAAATATTTACAAATATACGTAAACTTATAAATATTTTCAGCCTAAAATGTGCTATACAAAACTACATACATTTACACAAAATAACCTAGTACGTGAACTCTGTAAAACTATTTATTAAAAGAGCTATAATTTGTGAGGAAGATGGAATTGGCAGTTTACCCACAGAAGGGCCTACCCTATGTCTGTCAGGCAGGTGAAATCTGATATTTTGCTATGATTAAATGTATACATCTATAATGTGAGGGGGAAGCTTAAAAAAATCAAGATGGAGGCTTTTCTAATATTTTCTTGAGTTTATGTGCATCATCTGAATATCTTGCTTAAATAGAAACTTCTTTGTCCAATATAATTATTAAAATCCTGTTTATGGGCAAAAAGATAGTACACCGACATATAAAGGGAGGATTTCTTTTTAGTAAAAATGAAATCTTAGCAGTCTAATTAAAGAATAATCACTAATCAAATTGTTAGCCAAAGTTATTTGTAATTTTTGCAAAAAATAATCCAAGGGGAAAAAAACAATTAAAATTGTTATCCTATCAGTTTCTATCCCTCATCATGGTGTTATGTCCCATATTCACCTGCTGCTTTGGTCATTGAAAAAAAAAAAAAATGTTGTTCATGTTACCAGTTTCTTATTTCTCACTGTAGGGTCCACCTGGAGTAATTTTAAAAACTTGCTGATGGGTTTTCACACCTTTGCTCTTTCTTCACTGGTGTGCAGCTACATGTTACACCTGAATTTACTATGAATGGCATGATGGTGTCATTTATATTTCTTAGATACTATGTGTTTATTCTCCTTGTTAATTCTAAAAATACATTTGTCCAGCTCCAGGTTTATATTTCTATTAATTCACCACTGGCAAATTGGTTATAGTCATAAGGTTTCCAGTGCCAAGCCCATATCCTACTTCTTATCACCTTAATTTCATTTTGCTAGATAAATTGCTGGGTAAAAGTCTCACCAGCCTAAAGCAATATTTTTAAGTCAAGTAAGGTTGAAAAAAATGGTCAGTTGAAATTCTTATAATTAGTTGCATTTTAAACCTAATTTTTACTAACTGCCAGAACAGCTGGCTTTGTTTGAAGTCATATCACTTTGAGCTAGTTTTTGCTGCTCAGCAACACCAACAATTTTATTGGATTTTTACTATGCAAGGAAATATGAAAAAGAAACAACAACCAGTCTTTTTGTTTTGACACTTTTTTTCCCTATTCTTTTGTCCGTTGCATGAACAAAATACAGTTTCAGAGCAAGAAGCAATTTGGGCTTCCCTCTGGAGGATAGTTTGCTGAAATTATGTTGGCCCGAATTCTTTCATTTCTAGAATATACTCACTTATCTGGGCTTAGATGTCCACAGAGTTACCTAATCCTTTGTTTGCCTTCTCTTTTCTGCAACCATTATGACATGGCTTGGCTTTGAGAACTGTGCCAATTACAAAAAATAATTCAAAATGTACCTTAATAACAGTGATTTACAACTGATTGTTTTTGGTTGCTAACTTCTTAGAAGACAATAGAAAATGAGTTCTATCTATGACTAAATAGGATCCTTATTTTTCCAAAAAGCAAGGAGTCAATAGCAGGAAAGAGTAAAAGATAAATAGGAAAGATAGGAAGGGAGGAGCTCTTGTTTTTCTGCATGTGTAGAGGCAATGTTTAGTTTCCCTTTCTGTTTAGTTTTATCAGTGTGCTTTTTGACTTTAAAGAAAGTCATATGATTTGTGTGATAAAATCTCAAGTGTCATTTTAAACTGGAATATATTTCCATGCCATTCAAAGTCTGAAGCTATTCTGTTATGTTTAACTTGTTCTATACAGAAAGACTGGCAATTTTGTTAATTCTGAGAAGAGTCTGATGATTGGCACAGACACACTTATCAGAAAGGTGTTTTCATTTGCTATTGAAGCTCTCATCTCCTCAGCCTGAGAAAATCTTAAATCTCAACTCAGTTTTCAGCTCATATAACCTGTATAGATAATTTATCTCAAAACCTTGTCATTTAATACCATAGTTATAAGTCAAGAATGGCCCTGTTCTTTTGCTACCAGAAATCTGGGTATAAGAGAGCTGTCAGAGGACCATATCTGCTTGTAGGCCTTATATTTTGATGAATTTTTTGTGATGCTATGATACCATATGTTACAGAAGGACAGGCAACAATTGAAATGGAGGAAAAAATCTATCAATTCAATTTTTTTTTTTGAAATTTAAAAAACACTTTCTCTTAATACAGGCAGACCTCACTCCAGAAGAAAAATTTGAAAGAAATGCTATCAGACAGG